CCCGGAATGCAAAGATAATTTTGAGACTTATAATAACAATATAAATATGTGAGTTAGCACCTTTTTTAATGGACGGCACACCTACGCGATCTACATTGTCACTGCCATTTGATCTATCGCGAGCAGGACACAATGGAATATCAGCAACGACCTGCATGGTAGTGACCATTACCCGATCCGCATACAGCTTTCCGGTTGAACGTAGTTCTGTTTGAAGCAGTAGAATAAAGTTTAAGCTTGTGATAGGTACGTAGAAAAATGTAGATTTTAATTCTAGTAATAAACTGTATTTATTTTTGCGTTGTGAAAATGAAGTGGGAAATCCTCGCTGCACATCTCGGACTTTAAGTGTAAAAATTCATTGGTGTTGATTCAAATGTTAAAATTTACCTACTCTTTGCATATCTATAGTAAGATATGATCCAAATCTATCAATTACTTCAAATAAAATCAATTTTCAATAACTGAGTGAAAAGTTATTAACAAATGAGCAGTTGGTGTTTACAACTGTGCATGCCAAGCATGGCTACGACAGCGATATCGTCCAGCGCGTCAAACCTTCCAAAGGCAGCATTCACGACTTGCGAATTCCACCCGATGTTTCTGCACTCCAGATAAACGAAGCTCTTACCTTCCGGGAGCTTCAGGTTGCCCTTGGAGATTGGATACCCGGTGTTAAAAAACCTCTCCCTCGACGGAAAAACGAGGCTACTCTCCCTCTTCAACGATCTATGGCTTACTAACTCGTATCCGGACCTCTGGAAACAAAGCTTGGTAGTGCCCATTCCGAAGAACAACACGGCGAGTGAAGAAGTCTCCTCCTTTAGGCCGATTGCGCTCACTTGCTGCGCGGCAAAAGTGATAGAGAGAATGGTAAATCGTCGTCTTAGGCAGTTCCTGGAGTCAAAAGGCCTCCTTGACCAACGGCAGCATGTGTTCCGGCAAGGACACGGCTCCTCCACTTACTTTGCAGCCCTCGGGAGAGTACTTAAGGAAGCCCAGGACAACGGTCACCATGCGGAGTTAGTCTCCCTTGATATTTCAAAGGCCTTCAACAAGACATGGACACCTGGTGTCATCAGGCAGCTCATTGGCTGGGGCCTGGAAGGTCACATCACATATTTGGGACGGAATTTCCATCTTGATCATACCTTCCAGGTGACTGTCGGGAACACTCGCTCGGATCCATTCCCCGAGGAAACTGGAGTGCCCCAGGGATCCGTCATACCGGTAACGCTATTCCTGGTGGCAGTGAACGGGGTATTCAGGCGATTGCCCAAGAACGTGCACGTAATCGGTTATGCCGACGACATACTCATCGTCGTAACGGAACGAACAACTAAGCGGACCAGGATCTTAGCTCAAGCAGCAGTCTCCGTCGTCAGCAGGTGGGCGCTTTCGATTGGTTTCCAGCTCTCCGCACCGAAGAGTGTACGATGCCATATCTGTCACTCAGTCCATCTGATTCGAGGACCACCGATCACCATCCAAGATCATCCGATTCTGCTCAAGAAAACAGTGCGTATTCTGGGGGTAGTACTGGATCGCACCCTAAGCTTCAACCAGCACTTCAGGATGGTGAATAAAAACTGTCGTAGCCGCATCAACATAGCCAGGACAATCTCCTGCCCGCATCGCTTTTGCAACCGTGAGATCCGCCTTCGTGTCGCTCGGGCTGTTATCGACAGTCGACTTTTCTACGGCCACCGAGAAGCTCAACCACATCCTCGCTCCGGTATACAATACCTACGTACGTATCTGGCCTTCTCCCATCCACGCCTGCAGACGCCGCATTCTCCCATCCACGCCTTCCTTTCCGCTATCGATCTGCTGCAGCCATTGCTACGAAAGCCGCTGCCCTGACTGCTAAGACATCCGGGAACGAAAGGGTCTTAACGAAGGGAACAGAGGCCTCCGCACTGCAGCCAACGGTGACCTCCCCCCGGTGGCCAGGGTCTACTGGCATGGAGAGTTGGCGATCAAACGTCGTCAAAATAGATAAGCGGATTAAGAGTGGATTTTAAGCTGGATATAGCTCTGTAGTTTTGAGACGTTCTGTTGTAGAGCTTCTAGGGTCGGTTTATCCGGGGTTACGTTCATCGCTTTACGGACGGATCGCGGTCGCGGGCTGGAGTTGGACTAGGAGTGGCAGAACCGAACACTGCAACGAGTCAACGTCTACCGGAGAAGTGCTCCGTCTTTTCCGCTGAAGTCGCAGCTATTCTAGATGCAGCCATCACTCCAGCAGATCAACCGATCCTCGTGTTAACTGACTCACACAGTGTCATCCAAGCGCTCGAAGCCGAAGCCCCGAGCCACCCCTGGATACAAGCCATTACACGGTACAACCCACCTTCAACCGTCTTTACGTGGATCCCCGGACACTGCGGTGTTCCCGGAAACGAGGCTGCAGACAGACTGGCAGGATCTGGTACATCCCGTCCCCGCTACACCAGGAACGTACCCCTCCTAGACGTCAGGCATTGTATTGTGAATACTATTATTTAAGTCTGGTAGCAGGAATGGTTCCAGTCGCGGACCACTTTCCTGAGGAAGATCAAGGAAACCGTACGCTCCTGGCTGGGCAGCCAAAAGTACAAGAACCAGCGGATCATCTCAAGACTCTGGACCAGTCATGCGAGGATTTCCTGTAATTTCGGTGGGACACCTTTCCGCAAGGTTTGTTAAATTTGCAGCATCTCCGCCTCGGTGGCGCACGTGTTGTGTGTCTACTCGGAGTTCCAGAAGCTACGCGAACAACATGGACCCCCGGAGAACGTCAGTAATCTGCTTGGTTACGACTCCTCAACATTGGCTGCGCTGATCGCCTTTCTGAAGGACGCCCACTTGTATAATCAAATCTAGCCCCCCGTCGGTGGCTGCACTGATCGTGTTTTCCTCACCTTTCTATTTTTTCTGCCGTCGCGGTTTCTCCGCCTGACGGGGCACTGTCTCCTACGGTGGAGCTCTACCTTGTTCGCACACCTAGTCCTCACCACAGCCCCGATGCAATCCTAACTTTACATTAAGTTTTCAAAATGTTGTCTGTCTCATTCGTTGGGTAATCCTCGGGGTAATCAGAGCCAGTTATACGTTACGTTAATGTCAAATTGAAACGTATGTTTTTTTAGGCAGGATCTAGCCTGACTATCTGCTGTATAACGTGATGAACTAGTCTACGGCTAAAAATCACAGCAATATAGAAAAAAAAGTCAGCAACAACAACAACAACAACAACAACAACAACAACAACAACAACAACAACAACAAAAACAACAAGGTAAAAGCAATCCCATAAAAAATACAAGATATGAAGCGGTCTTCCGTTATTTTATTTTTTTAAATAAAACTAGAAGGCTGAACAAGGGTTGGAAAAGACTACTATTTAATGCCTTAAAAAGCTTATAATTTACATTACTGCTAAGCTTTCGGCTGATTAAAATCACAAAATTCAGATGTTTAAAAGCTGAACAAAGGTTAAAGTGGTCTATGTACAACAATTATTCAAACTAAAGCTGAATAAAAATCGTTAAAATAACACTTGTTAAGCATCACATTTGTGACATTTTTTAGTCACACACGAAGCACGAATAGAATCAGTACAAAAGCAATTTTTATTGTTTGCTCAGAAAAATCCCACCGACCTCGGCTGGGATTGAACCCAGACCCATTGGGATGAGAAATCAGTCACGCTTACCACTACACCACCGGTGCCGGCACATGCACTGGGATCAACGGCTTTAGTTCTGTACTTTGGTCAAGAATATCTAGTGCATCTTCCATATAGTTTTCATAAGTTCATATTTTAGGTTTCAGTCACATTAAACCATAGTTGCTATTGAGTAAGATTTTTTATATTACATCCCTGTAACTAAACATATTTCTAGCGTAAAGACACTGGTTTCAACTACACGTTCACCTATCCAACTTTGAAAAATCTCAAGCGTTTTATGTTGATGGAACATCATTAGGAGATCTCAATATCACAGCCCTTGCCAAGTTCCGCACTTACATACAAGCAGATATGCCTACAGAGATACATGAAACACATGATTATCCTTATGCACCCTCTCTCTCTTTCTATATTTTTCGCTGCAACAATGTCAAGGTCATTGCCATCATCAAAGTGACACATGTTCCGAGGCGCGCGTTCACTGGCTTTGGTCCTTGCGCTTTAGTTGATGCCATAAATTATGATAATGATATCCATTCATGCGACACTTCCTAAACAGAAAAAAAAATCACTTTCCTCATGTCATCCGTAATATAGGTTGCAAGTTGCGGACATCAAATGCCCTTCATCTAACTGTTAATCCATGTTGTCGTTTCGTATACCGGACGTGATTAGACTCACATTTCACGATAATAATTAAACTTCAAACGTGCAATTCTATACCTCTCCTTTTGACATGCTTTTGACCTGCATTTTCATCAAACATTTATTTGACACTTTATCGCATCGACGGATCGCACGACATTTTTGGACGGAGTAGTCGCGAGTAAAATCCACGCGCCCCGCAAACCATGTACGAACCGGCGAGTGCCTGTAAACAAACTGGCCGATTAGTGGTGGGAAATCGTATTTGTTACGACTTCCAAGTGGCGACGAAACACTGCTGTCGCGTGACGGTGGGTGGCATCTGTTGCATGGGTGGTGTGACACAGCATCATCGGTAACAGCGGCAACCAGGCGGTTGGTAGGTGCTGCTATCTTTCGGTGAATTCCATGTCGGTTTGTTGGCATGCAATGAATTTATACGGTAGACGAAGAAAATGTAACGGATTGGTCTTGTAAATCGGAAAAATTATTGATGCGACCCAATACCTCTTAAGGCACAATCACCAATTTCAAATGTTAGCGCTACACCTCATTGCCATCTGTCGTTCGATCGCTAGACAATCCTGATACACTTTTCACGAGAAAACACCTTCCCCATCCAAGCGCTTTCCATTTTCCCCTCGATTTTCCATCGGTTCTCTGCACAAAACGCCATCGCGCGAGTGTTGTTCGGTTCTGACGCTGTCAAAATGTGTTGATTTTCCCTAAATTTCCAGTGTTGCACCGAAGCTAGCCGCCCGAAATGAAGTTTGCCGAGCATCTGGCAGCCCACATTACGCCGGAATGGCGGAAGCAGTACATCATGTACGAGGTAAGCAGCCGCAATTAGGGATTTTCATCGTCCAAACAACCTGGCATTGTTTGACCCATCGTGACCTACAGAACTAGGGAGCTCTCGTGCGAACTTGAACTACACACTTCTGCTGTGTATTAAGTGCGATCGATCCCCGCTGCGCATGTGCGTCATTTGTGACCGATCGATTTTCCCACGCCGACGCAGTTCGGCTTGTTTACATTTGGCAAGCGTGATTTATTGTTTACAAACGAACAGCTGAAACGCGAAGACGCCGTAGCAATGGTAACGGACCGGTTGTAACCGCTTCCAGGTACGGTCGAGCACGTGTTTTTACCGAACTGAGGGGAAATGCCGGTCACGTTTCGCTCATTGCATTGTCCGCGGAATGTTTGCAAACATTGTCTACGTAAATAACGACAGCAACCTGTGGCATGTAAACATTAGTAATGTGGATCGCAATGTGTCGGCTGTCTATTTCGGAGATGCACACGGAATTTGGTAGGTGATTGACATGCAATGTATATCGTTGTATTCTTGTTGTAGGAGATGAAAGCTCAACTGTACGCAGCGGTTGAGCAATCGCCATCGGCAGAGCTAGTTGATCCGGAGGTGCTGACGAGGTACTTTGCCAAGTTCGATGAGCAGTTTTTTCACTATTGCGACAGTGAGCTAGCTAAGATTAATACATTCTATTCAGGTGAGTGGTTTGTTTTTAAGTAACTATTTTTTTACAGTATTGCAAAAAAAAGAAAAGTTGCTTGGTTCAGAATTATGGAATGGTTTTACAAGTATATCATAGATGTTAACAGTGTGATCCACTATTACAGTGAGCTGGTGAATCGGTTGCATAGCGATGAGAACGCCTATGTGGCGGAGAAGGCTAGTGTGATGATGATAGCTTTTCAATGTGGTTCAACGACCTGGTCTACGATCGAACAATGCCGTAGACCAGTGCTGCGATTTGTCATTGTCATTGACAGACTTTCGCCCGATATTGACAAAAATGTTTTTCACATTGTCACTCACAAACTTGATCCTTAAAAAACTACATGGGGTTGAACGCAATGGTGACATAGGACTACGTGTTCTTATATAATAAATGTTATTTTTAACTGCAGCAGGAGCTTGTGTTTTGAGCATGGTGCTCTCTGTTTATACTCTTTTGTATGACTATGATTGCCCTGAAAAGAACCTTTTGATATGAATTTTAGTTAAGGAATGTTCAGAAATTTAACTATTTTCGAAAGTCTTGGTGGCCCTGAAAAGGACAGGCTTAAAGCCTTTGAAAGATGATGGTGACGTGTAGGCAGCTGGATCAGCGAATCAGACCGGACAATCCCATATTATTCGGTTCAATGTTTGGGCACTCGCAACTCTTGGCCCGTCTGCTGCTGGACAAGGGTTGAACTGGTGTCTGCCTTAGGTTGGAAGACCGCAGAATATCAGTATCACCCAGCTAAAGCTCCTCCCCTTTTTAGTTTTTCCCGTTAAACTCCTTCTTTCAACATATTGGTCAATATTAGCCTTTAGCAGAAAGACGCTTAACACTTATTTCGGCGAATTTATGATCCTGTTTCATCAGATAAATTAGAACTTTTATTTATTTTCTCTACAGCGCTAAATCAAAGGAGTCGAAATAATTAGGGAGTCGGTTGAATATTTACGCAATCTTTACGATTAATCGTTAATCGAATAATTGGACTTTTAGGCATCCCTAGAAAATAGTGTAATTCCGTGTTTTTTGGTGGTCATTCGAAAATGTCGAACAGCAGAATTGCAACCAGCAAATGTAACCCAAGAACCAAAAGCAGTGCGATGCAAGTTTTCATTTCTATGACGATGACTGAATTAAGGGGCTTAGAAGCAGAACAACAAACGTATCAATGAATGTGGTTGCCGTCGAGTTATGAACGAAACAGAAAGTCGATGAAGAGAATCGATCAAAATAACTTGCACCCCTACTTCGAAGTTTGATTACAAGATTACAACTCTGGAGAGCATTTTATGAGATCGTTGGAGGCGTGTGGTTCTGAATATGGCAATGAGTGTACAAAATGTTACGCAATTGCGTCCTCTCTATTCGCACACGTCCGAAGAGCGGAAGCGAATGCCACTTCGACGTGTTTCGTCTACTAACGATTCTCTGGGGAAGCAGCAATGCTACATCGACATGTTTCGCCTAGATACGATTCTCTGATGACTGTGTTGGGGAAGCAGCATATGCATGTACGTAATTGGTGGATTTGTTAGTTATTTCGATGCTTCTGGACAATGCTTGACATTTACCAATTTTTAATAGTTTATTGTTGAAAATCAACAGTAGATGTTATCGATGCGTAGAAATATTTCTGATCGATTGGTGATAAAATTTTAGAAATTGGTTCAAGAGCAGCTGAGTTATTAACGTTCAATATCTTTCATAATTTTGTGACTTGTACCATTTTTGGTTTTCACAGAGTGTACCCCCATATAGAAATCACAGAAGTATTTCTACGTCAAATACCTTCGTCAAAATCTCATTCATTTTTTCGTTAATGACAAAGATTCACCTGGCAACAAAAATGTAATTTCGTGCATTCTGTGTCACATTATTGATATCCAAACAGTTCAGCACGTAGATGCTTGTTCACTTTAACGACTCCATGTAATTGTGTTGCTCAAGTCATTTAATTGCGTTACAAATTTAGCTAATAAAAAAACTCTACACATGTTCGTCACTGCAGCATTGTCATTGACAATTGACATGGTTTGCCTTGACGATGACTGTTAGCTCAAATGAGTGATCAAAGCAGAATTGTCAATATTATCGTGTATTGTAGAAATTTTGCAGCACTGCGGTAGACCATGTGGTGGCCGGCGCCGGTGGTGTAGTGGTAAGCGTGACTGCTTTCTCACACCCCAATGGGTCTGGGTTCAATCTCAGCCGAGGTCGGTGGGATTTTTCTGAGGCATAAAAATCTCCGTTGGTCCTGGCCCGTGTGTGTGAATGGGTGCGAAATCCTACGCAGGTGTGGAAGCTGCCTTCATTGCACATTCGATTGCCGTCAATGGATGGCAATCGATGTCCATCGGTGATTGGCACTAGATTGCGGAACAGAGAACGACGTTAAATAAAGGAACAAGAAGAAGAGAACACTGTCCGATGCCACAGAGTATTTCCAGCGATCCGTAGTGGATGGGAAAGTCGTCTCCATTCCACTCGATTCATAGTTGCACGTCGCCAGCCTGTCAAAGCTCCGTAGGTCGCCTTCCACGAGGCCGGTCCACCTTGCCTGCTGCACGTATCTTAATCTGGTTCCATTCGAGTCGTTATCGAGCACGATTTTCACCTGGCTGTCACGCGACATTCCTATGATGTAATCAGCCCACCGTAGTTGCCATAACCATCATCATTGTCAGCGTTATACCCCGTTCACATTACAGCCTATATCACGTAATATAGGCTGTCTTGCAATGAGCACTCATACATAGGATTTCCAGTGAAAACTAGATGTATGAGTGTTCATTGCAAGATAGCGTATATCACGTGATATACGCTGTAATGTGAACGTGGTATTAACGTCTGCAATGCAAATTCTCATTGCAAACGTTAACGCAGACGCTATCGGCAGTGATCGATTAACAACCCTGGAGTGGACGATGAGTGAATCTCCCAGCAGGTTCATTCGCCACCGCAGTGCTGTCGTGGTAAATTTTGAGCTGGTTACTTAGCTGGTTACGCACTAATTTTAATTTCGGAATGTTCACACAATTTAGTTCTCTCTAATTAGGGTACGGGCAAGCTGGTCTGTTATCTGCTCGCCATAAAACTTAAACAAACTAAATTTATCGGATATTTGCTGGTGGATCAGAACGCTTGGCTGTTTTATGTCCAACGTTTCGGTCTTTGGACTTGGCCTTCTTCAGAGGATATAAAGTTGTACCATCTTTCGTTCAGCTCAAAACCTTTACAATCTCAAACTAAAACTAACTCATAGTGATCGATTGTGGATGATGACAAAACTGTAAAACTTTTTCTTGATGACTTAACGTCGAAACAAAATGACTAATTCTTCAAGATCTTTAAACTTCCCAGAAATCTTAGCCTTTTCTGAAGTTTTCGGAGCTTCCCTGGAGTAATTGAAACTTCCCTAAGCTGCATATTTTGGGGCTGAAACTCACGGTCCGCTAGTGTTGGTGAGTTGTTTGTCGTTAATCTTCATGAAAAGTTTACTATTTTGCCATAAACAGTGCCAACACAAAACAGTTTACGTTCGGATTTGGACTGATTTGGACCTGGTTCATATGACCGGAAGGTGAAGGCTGGTCGCAAATGCCTTGATGTGAATTTCCTGAATAAACACGAGGAGTGTTGATTATAGCAAAACTTGCAATATACAATCGTCAGAGTTCATTTTAGTAAACAAACTAACATTTCTTCCTTCGGTGACACCTTTGATTATCCGCCTTGCTCTCCGACGATGATTCTCTGATGGATCTTTCTGCTTCTGAGGCGATGAATATCTGGGACGGGACTTGACAATCGGGTAGCGATTTTGAGCCAATTTGCTGTCAAATCCGAGCCAGTTTCTGATTGGTCGATTTGACAGTAGCAATCGTGGAATAAAAAGGACAAAGGGATCGCATCAATCTCACTGGCAGTGATGCCGGAATCAATTTTGGCGTCAGTGGCGTTGTTAATTGTTTATATTTGCGAAAGGAAAGAAATTATGAAAATGATGTACAAGCTTGAGCTTGAGCTTGATTGACCGCCTACGGTTGCTACTCTGTTATTGCCAGATCAGCTGTAATTACACAGAGGACCAATAGACGATGCTTGGGACTAGCAATCATCCTCAATGTGTAAAAACTGGTGATCTTAAATTAGGCAATACCAGCGCCGGGCGCGCCCGAACACAGGTCAAGAAAGGAATGGGAAGGATTGTGTTGACATGACACTCGCTTTGAAGGAAGCCGAGAACACCTCTGCACTTCCACGAGGAATCACTGGGATGTTGGATAAGAGGGTTGGGTTTGCAGCAAGGTTCGTTTTGGTAAACGATAAGCTGAATTGATGTCCTAACGATCATATTACGTGAAGGAACTTAGGACTAAACCCATGGTCTTCTGCTCAGTAAGCAAAAACGTTTGCCACTAGGCAGACGAGCACCTTTTTAATCACCGAGTTGCTGTTATTACCATGTAGTCATATTAACAAATAAAACGATTGACGAATCTTGAATGTGGATGGGCCTGAGATTAGACTCACGATGTTCTGCTCAGTAAGCAAAAACGGTTGCTCTAAGGCCACCGAGTCCCTCATATCACATAATACCGTTGCTCAAATTTTTGTATCCATTCAAACCCGGAACCAACGACAACAACGAGTTTCGCAAAATACACGATACACAAGCGATTTTACCATAAATCTCTTTGATATGTAAGGACCTGGGACCGCGTTTTTCTGCTCAGTAAGCAGGCCACTGTCACGTCACGCGACGTTCAATGTTTCAATTTGCTCTTTACGTATTGTTGAGGCTATAAATAGGCCCTTTTCAAAAGTTACACAAGAAATACGCACAATCATCGCCTACCTCGCAAAATTGGTTCCAAACGACAACAAAGGCATAAGCAACGATTGATTGTTGAACTTTGCTGGCTCCGGTGGTGTAGTGCACAGCAAAAAATAATGTAATATCGATCAACGTAATTCAAGCT